TCTCCGCAAGCCAGGTAAAACAATGTGTTTGATTTAATATTAAGTTCAGGCAACGACAGGTACTTAGCATTGCGCTTTAATCTATTTGCACATTTAAATTTCGCTTACATGTCACAAAATAATTGTCCACCATTATCGTGTGGTGACGGATTAAGAATACGGAGTGTCACCACCCTGTTCATCCCGTGGGTGTCGTAAGCACCAACTAAGGGAGAAAGCTGCTCAGACTGGCCCGCGTGGTATAGTAGGCCAAAACCGCCTTTGTAAGGAGAGGCCTATGTCCAGCAGTGGACTATTAAAGGCTGGTCATGATGATGATGATTATGGTGGATATTAGCCCCCTGCCCTTACCGTGAATAATACACTAGAATTATTGTGTTACATTATTATAGAAAAGCCATGTTTTAGCACATTTGTGCTGACTCGACCAGCGTTTTACAATAAAAAAAAAGACTTATTTTCTTTTCTGAATCAAATAACATAACTGTTGGGTACTGTTTTTAGGCGAAACGTTGCCTGTGCTAGAAGACTCCGCTGTTCAACATAAATAACGAAGAATATAAAATACTAGCTGACCCGCGCAACTTCGTCTGCGTCTCTCAATAGTAATAAATTTTCTCCGTTCCTATTGGTCTTAGCGTGATGATATAATATATCCCATTTATCGAGGAAGGCTATAGGCTATATTATAGCCTATAGCCTTCCTCGATAAATGGGCTATCTAACACTGAAAGAATTTTTCAAATCGGACCAGTGGTTCCTGAGATTAGCGCGTTCAAACAAACAAACAAAATCTTCAGCTTTATAATATTAGTATAGATAATAACAACATTTCTATTAATGTGTGTAACGTCCAGCAAAATAATGTCGAAAACAGTCAGTCTCTTTTTTAAAAAAGACAACTCCTACATTAGGATAATATCCTGTATCGCGGGGGACTTTACAAACATACATGAAACGGACACAAAGAACACCCAGACTCAGAACAACAATTTGTGGATTACACAAAGTGTCGTCCCATGTGGGGATCGGACCCACAACACTCAGCGTAGTAGTGAATGGCGTGGCGACCGCTTAAACCACTACGCCATCCGTGCAGTCAGTCAGTAAAATGCTCAGCTACTGTAATTGTGGTGCATATTTTTATATTTGTTGCACTTTTTAATTACTTTCTGAATACACATAAAACCTCACATACATTTGAAAGTCTTTAGAGGTCTTGTACAAAGTGTTAGGACGTATTGAAGGTGTGTTCATGCTAATTAAATAATTTTTAAAGACAACAGCACTGCGAAGAGAAGGAAAACTTGACACAAACCCAATACCAACCCGTCTGGCCAGCGTGGTATAGTAGGCCAAAACCTTCTTTCTAGGGAGAGGCCCATGTCCAGCAGTGGACTACTAAAGGCTGTTGATGATTGATGAAATAATTTTTAAACGGTGCATTATTTTTGTTTTTAAGAATTTATGTACTAACAAAAGATGATTAGAATCCGCTTATCCGCGTCAGAGATCCAGGAAACCCACAAAAAGAAAGATACTCCAGAAAGATCTCGAATAATTTCGCAACCGAAGAAGAAACAAATACAAAATTAACTGCAACTTACCTCGTCTAGACAACTAATTATATATCTAATATTTATTTTAGTATTCCAATAAAAAATGCCTGGCCTGTTGGTCTAGTGGTTAGTGACCCTGACTGCTAAGCCGGAGGTAGTGGGTTCGATTCCCACCCAGGACAAGTAATTTATCTATAATGTGTATGTATTTAGAAATATATAAGTATGTTTATCAGCGGTCTGGTTACCGTAGTACAGGCTCTGCCTAGTTTGGGATCAGACGGCCGTGTGTGCGATGCGTGAAATAATTAAATTAATAAATTTATAAAGAAAATGTCTGTCTGTGGTAACGTTACCCGAGAAGGAAATGATTCTGTGAAACAACTTAGTTCAACTCGGGCAGCGCTGTTCGTTATTTAGAGAACAGCACTGCAGGTGACTGGTCCGCTCGTTTGCTCCCTATGTCATCAAATCAAATCCATGCCATAAAAAACTAATTTTCAGGGCCGAAAAAAATATCTTAATATATTAAGATTGAAGCTGTACGTTCACGCGCTTTGCTGTGGCACCTTGTGGTGAAATCAAAATTTAAGATCAATTGGTCCAGAACTTTTGAAGTGTACACAAACCAACTAAACATTTTTGTAAAGATAAATATGTTGGCGGTAGAAAAACTTTTAAATCTAAGTATATTTTTTTCTCAAAAAACCGCTGTCAAAATCAACTCGTAAGTAGGTAACTTCTTTGAAAACTATCAATAGACACAAGAAATGATTTCAATATAGCCACTGAATCTTTAGGCCGTAAACATGTTTACTTGTGCCAAGAAAAAAAACTACAGGTAAACAGATAATAACGCGGCTGTGTACACAACAGCTGATTCCGTTCTAGCAAGACAGGGACAGCAATAGTTAATATTAGGCATGAGATAGAATCACAATCACCTTAGATTTATCATATGATTTTAAAATAATTTCAACACAACATTGACTCATCTACAACATCACTGCCACTAATTATTATTATTATATATCGCCAGGCACGCGAAAGCACTAAATGTGAAGAAAAAGGTCGGTTTGATTGATTTTGATGACATTAATCTTTGTCTATAACCAAATCTAGGTTGTGATTTTTCACAGATTCACAGGATATCATAGTGCCCAGACGCAATCACTTCATTACATGAATATGATTCAAAATTAGAAATATAGAAGATTTGCAGTTAAAAACAACATTATCTTAAAAATTTCCAATAAACTCCAAATAAAAATCCCTGCGATTTCAAAGCACCTATGAATTGTATATAACTGTACTGTACTGTACTCCTTAATTCCTTAATTTTACACTCTTAGGGGTGGTATTTCTTCTTTAAATGAAACCAGACTAGAAGCTAACCCTCCAAAATAATAGAATTCCAAAAATGTGTTCATAAATAACGTTGTTCTTAAGGTAAATTAATTTTAATCTTATTATTATATTTTGATTACATTTGATTGCTAAGTGTTGTCCCATGTGGGGATCGCACCCACAACACTCAGCGCAGTAGGAAGCTTCTCAATCAGGTTAAAAAATTAATTATACCTAAAAACAGTAATAAAAGGCGTCCAATCGTCCAGTGTATGTTGACCTCCTGTTATGATATTTATAGTATACATTGCGTTAACTATGACAGACAACATTTAAAACTAGATCACCAAATGATCTCTGGTACTCATTATACCACAAACGGATTAGAAACAATAAACTGTACAGTTACTGGACGAACCATGAAGTTACAAATTACATTACTGTACTTTGATCCTTAAACTAAACCACAAGTTCAATCTTAAACTATATGGTTATACTTGAAGCCCTATTTATTTAAAAGTGTATGCATTTACTTTAGTTTAAAATAAATTATAGTTTTAAAAATAAAAACACGTACGAAATAATTTTCTATAAGTTCAAACAGAAAAATCATTTTATTATAATAAAACGTCGGGTGCTAGATCTCAACTATTGTAAAAATATTTAACTAACAGATATGAGTAAAAATAAAATGATTATATTAAAAAATACCCTGAAAAGCACCCCACGCGGATAATGGTACAAAACTATTTATATTTCATGCATTGTCATTGGTCCGTGATAAGTGTGAACATAGATACATACCAAGCCAATTGTATATTTACATACAACAATATCATTGTACCAAGCTAATAAAAGCGTGTTAAAATCGTCAAGTTGAATACACAATAATTCAGATGCCGTTATCTCATTTTAAAATTAAGTATTTAGTATAATTTACATAAAAATCTACCTGACCCTGATTCAACAATACCTAGACATAAAACAATTATTTAATTTGTTGTTAATTTTAGTATTCAATAAACCAATTGTTGAGTTAAAACAAATGGAAATACCATTGCCTTAACTATTGTATGCCCATCAGCATATAAAAAAATATATTGGTGGTAAATAGCGGCATCCTAAAGCACCATGTTTGGAACAGCTGATTTTGTTTGTATCGGAAAGACAAAGAGGGCACTACTAACATAAATATATCTATATCAATCACACACTGTATTGATCTAACAAATTGTTCGAGACTCCCGATGTTACGCGACTATTCTCGAGCGTACCCTTGTGCTGCCAGCCGTCAGGCCTAAGCTTTCCCTACTTTGGTTTTTGTTTCTATGTATTAATAATTTAAGTACTTGTAAATAGTATATTAAATTTCTTTACAAAGTATTCAAATTATAAAAACCGTGTAAATGATTAAGATAAGTAAATGATAAGAAAAATAGCGAAGTCAATGCTGTATAAGAACAAAAATTAAATGGCTTTTTAAACGTCCACTTTTATTATGTAATTACGTTACGTTTAGCGTATTATAAATAGTCATGTATTCATTGATATCTTATTATTATATAACTGGACTAAGAGTAGGTATACGTTTTTTTTATTTTTTTTATGATTGAAACAAAACACTTCTGCTGAAATTGTCAACGTTAATAACGGTTTTCCTTTTAGAGCGTAGGTTTTACATAATTCAAAAATGTAATAATATTAACATCGGTAACTGATTAATTTAAATTCACTTGATTTGCCTAATTGTTACTGGACAAACTACCCATAAAATCGGGTATGTTCCTACAACTTCCACACTAACATGCGAGAACCGATATACTTGTCCCTTTCTTTCACACAAGACGACACACTATTGGTTGATGCGTCCTACGTTCTGGAGCATTCATTTGGTTCTAGACACTGATTGGATGTTTCTAGTGACGGCACGAATTTTCTCGAATCCTATTCGTTTAGTATATAAACACGAACATCGTGCCGCGAAATCAGTCTTATTTGAAACACGAAAGTAAACAGACGAAAGAAGTTCGGTGCAAACCGGAGGAGTTTTACTCGAAGTATTTACATTATTATTGAAGATATAAACAAGTGAAGATGCCAGCTATCGGAATCGATCTTGGAACGACTTATTCCTGTGTGGGAGTGTGGCAACATGGGAACGTTGAGATCATCGCGAACGATCAAGGAAACCGCACAACACCATCTTATGTGGCGTTCACGGACACGGAGCGACTCATCGGCGATGCTGCCAAGAATCAGGTCGCGTTAAACCCTAACAACACCGTGTTCGACGCGAAACGACTCATCGGAAGGAAGTTCGAAGACCCCAAGATACAGCAGGACATGAAACATTGGCCGTTTAAAGTGATCAGTGATTGTGGAAAACCGAAGATTCAAGTCGAGTTCAAAGGGGAGACGAAACGCTTCGCGCCCGAAGAGATCAGTAGCATGGTTCTAACTAAAATGAAGGAAACAGCTGAAGCGTTCTTGGGCACTAATGTTCGAGATGCAGTCATTACGGTACCCGCTTACTTTAACGATTCACAACGTCAAGCTACTAAGGACGCGGGCGCGATCGCAGGGCTCAACGTGTTAAGAATCATCAATGAACCCACCGCAGCAGCTCTCGCTTACGGACTTGATAAGAACCTTAAAGGAGAAAGAAACGTGTTAATCTTCGACCTGGGAGGAGGTACATTCGACGTCTCCATACTAACCATCGACGAGGGTTCACTGTTCGAAGTCAAAGCGACGGCTGGAGACACGCATCTCGGAGGGGAAGACTTTGACAATAGATTGGTGAACTATCTGGCGGAGGAGTTCCGGAGGAAGTATCGCAAGGATATGAGAACAAATCCTCGGGCGTTGAGACGACTGCGGACTGCCGCCGAACGCGCCAAGCGTACTCTGTCTTCAAGTACAGAAGCGACCATAGAGGTTGACGCGTTATACGAAGGTATAGACTTCTACACGAGGGTGTCTCGAGCTCGCTTCGAAGAGCTTTGTTCAGACTTGTTCCGCGCCACGTTGGAGCCAGTTGAAAAAGCTCTCAGAGACGCCAAACTAGACAAGAGTTCTATCCACGATGTTGTTTTAGTCGGAGGCTCAACTCGTATACCCAAAGTCCAGAGCTTGTTGCAAAACATGTTCTGTGGCAAGAAACTGAACTTATCCATCAACCCTGACGAAGCAGTAGCATATGGAGCAGCAGTACAAGCGGCTATCCTTAGTGGAGAACAACACTCAAAGATCCAGGACGTCTTACTGGTTGATGTCGCACCGCTATCTCTCGGCATCGAAACCGCTGGTGGAGTCATGACTAAAATCATCGAACGCAACTCCAAGATACCTTGCAAGCAGTCGCAGACGTTCACCACTTACTCGGACAACCAGCCTGCGGTCACCATTCAGGTGTACGAAGGAGAAAGAGCCATGACTAAAGACAACAACCGTCTCGGAACGTTCGACTTGACCGGTATACCTCCAGCACCTCGTGGTGTACCTAAAATCGATGTGACGTTCGACTTGGACGCGAATGGTATACTCAACGTGTCGGCCAAGGAGAACAGCACGGGGCGCAGCAAGAACATCGTCATCAAGAATGACAAAGGACGACTGTCTCAAGCTGAGATAGATCGCATGCTCTCTGAAGCGGAGAGGTACAAAGAGGAGGATGAGAAGCAAAGGCAGAGGGTATCTGCGAGGAACCAGGTAGAGTCTTACGTGTTCAGCGTCAAGCAAGCGTTGGATGAGGCTGGTGAGAAGCTTTCACAGCAAGACAAGGACACAGGCCGAAATGCCTGTGATGAGACTCTGAGATGGCTCGACAACAACGCACTCGCAGACCAAGAAGAGTATGAACATAAGCTAAAGGAGTTGCAGAGGGTATGTTCCCCGCTTATGAGTAAGATGCATGGAGCTAGCAATGGAACTCCAAATGGACATAGTGGTGGAATGCCAGACGGAATGCAAGGCTCTGGTGGAATTCCTGGAGGGATGAATAATGGAATGCCAAATGGTTTCCCTGGTGGGATGCCAAGCTACGGGAGAACGCCCGGAGGCATGCCTGGTTACGGAGGAATGCCTGGAGGCATGCCAGGTTTCGGAGGAATGCCTGGCGGTATGAACGGAGGAATGCCAGGATACGGAGGTTACCAAAGAAACGATGGCCCCACTGTTGAAGAGGTTTATTAAGTATTTAAACTTTCTCAAGTTTCTGTGATATTTTGTTTGAAGACTGATTGTGTAAATAATTATTTATTAATTTAGTTTGTAACTTATGTATAATAAAAAAAAGTATTTAGATCTCTTTATATGATGTGTTTCATTTATCACTAGGTGTACCTACTCAGCGTAAGACACGCAAACAACAATGTTCATAAGTTGTCGTAACGACGAAACACTGCACTTTATTCTATTAATTACACACTACAATTCGCTTTTTAAACATAATAATAGGCTTGTGTTCACTAATAACCAATTTCTTGGTTTATAGTTTCAAATTATAAATGACGAGACATAGAAAAACCAGTCTATTTCTCATAAAAGATTATTAATATTTAAAAAAAAACGAACATAATAGGCATTAAAGTCTTGTAACAGCGAACACCAATCAGAAAGTGTTACGTCACGCTACGCAAAACATCATCGTTGTTGTTGACGTTTTCACAAAACAGAGCAGGTTACTCCTTATTGTTTTTCGTTTTTAGCATATTTTCTCACCTTAATACAGTTTCAGTTGACACTGGACGTAATGTAAATATTGTTTTTTCTTTAAAATATAGATTTTTGGGGATAAAATAGATATTGAGTCAACTAGACTATTGTCTGGCGCCATGATACCTACGCAACATAAACAAAATGATATCAGCGCCTCTAGCCATTACTAAACGAACTAATTTAGACAGCAAAAAGATAAACATAATATTGTATAATAAACACAATAATTTACACAGCGAGGACAGCATTTTTTTAGCGAGAGAGTTATGCTTCACCACAAAAGGGCAGGCTCGGCCAGAGTAATACAGCGAGCGGTCGCATAGATTACCAGTGTTCATCGGAGCCCAATACGGGTGTACTCTAAGGGTGTGTTATTCTATATTCTTCCGTCCACCTAATTCTGGGAGAAGACTTTAATGGACTTAACGAACTTGTGGCTCTTGAATTGTATATGTCTATGGAAGGCCTTAGTCTCTTATCACCAACAGTGCTATGCTCTAAGGAAACAGCCTTTCGTACAGCGCTGCCACAGCGTCAAACTTCAAACTAACTTAGTTTGAAATTCGGCGTTGTACTATGCACTGTTCTAATCGCACTGCACTGTTTGATTCCCTTTTACCATGTAATGTCTACCGCCGCCCAAGGACCTCGGCAACTGAAGAAACACACCTGCGTGTTGTAGCTTCGGAAACCTCACTCTTTGAAAAGAGTTGCTTAGTACGCGTGAGGCCATGGGATGGAATATAGTCACAATCACCTGTGATAAATATAAAACTTATATGATTTATACATTATATAATCACATCTGTAACTAATTTCCAAAACCACTGCGACTTATCAAATGTCGTAATCTGTAATAAAAATAATTTTGATTGATTTTTATGGTATTTATCTTTGTCTATGACCAAATCATAATCACAGGGGAAACACTGTACGGGGGGGGGTCGTCTACTTGTTGTAGATGGCCCGAGGCATGTCGGGGCACCAGGGACTTCCTTTCTAGGGTATACCTGGTTCCCCTTCCCTGGCTATTAAGTACCCGAGACGGCGTAGTCGGTTCGAGTCCGACATGCCACCATGATGGTATCCGAGGGGATTTCCGCACGGAAAAAAAAGGGGAAACTGTGATTTAAATCAATCATTTCATCATATGATTATGATTTAAAAGTAGCAATAATTTCCATGTATAGGCCGTGGTATCACTCCAGTGGAGTCTAGCCAATATGTGCCTAACCGTGGCTCTCCCACGCCATTAATAAGAATATTTTAGTGCACATCCATACTTATATGGTAAATGTGCGAATGAGTTTGTTTGTCAAGCTTTCACGCCTAAACAACTAAACCGATTATAAAAATTCTTTTGCCAATGGATAGTTATATTATCAGCGAGTAACATAGGCTGCCTTTTTACTGCGATAACCAACATAGGTACACGCGGCTGGAGCCAGGAGCAAAAGCTAGTACAAACTATAGGTATTCTAAGCATAGAGATATAACCTACAGACAACGAGAGCAGCAAACTCGCAAGATAGGCCAGACCAGTTCAAAAATAATCCACTCCATCCAAAGGTTGCCTGGAAGAAATTGCTCTAAGCGATGAGGCCGCCCTTTATACATTACATCTGTTGTTTTTTTAATTACTTTATAATGTCTGTAAAACTCTAAGCGAGCTCTGTGGTTTTTCTGAGCAATAGTACCTAGGGGTTAATATGTAGCCAATCGCAGCTAAGCTAAGCAGAGAGCTGAAAAGAGACAGAGGGAAATATCGGGCATCTATCTCTCTCGTTGCCTGTATCGCTTTCACTTACAGGCAGCTGTACCCCGTGTTCTCTATAATTATAAGTCCGTCCCTAAGACGCACCATAGAGTATTTTGTATGTTAGTCTATGCTTTATAGAGACAGTAAAAAATAAGCTGTCAATGTCCTGAATGTCAATAATGTTAATCAGAAATGTATTGACTAAAAAATAAGATTGTGTATATTGTTATAGCTTTATCGCAGAAGTATCTACGAAAACGTAGAAGAATAAAATTAGGGAATGATATAAAAACATTTCGAAGACATTTTTTTAGCATTTTTGTACAAGCTCCCTTCAAATATTCATGTCGAAATTAAATTTTTAGGGGATTTAAAACTTCTATGACTCCATTGTTAATTTTTAAATAACTTAAGGGAATCTTAAAACTACTATTACTAACGAAAATTACCATATACTACGATCATTTCTCAAAATTAAAGAAGAAATCGTAAAAATAGTCTCGAAGTTTTGATAGCTACATCTACATGTCCCTTACACAACGTTCCTCTGCACGCAAAACATGTCTGCTCAGACAGTCTACTGATGCGTATTGTAATTTTCTTCAAATGTATTCTATCTTGATCTATTAATATTGTAACAACAATGAATTTAGCACAATCTTCAATAATTACTACTAATATTGGTACGGTAAGAATGATTTAATATTTTTAATTCTAATAATAATATAATATCCTACCACAGTCACACAACGCCATCTAGTCAAAAACTAAGCAGAGCTTGTACTACGAATACTAAGCTTATTATACACTGCTATAACAAACTATATAAGATAAACAAATGTTACGACCCGACCCAATTTACGAACATACGTGCTAAAAGAACCTATGGTTCAGTAAAGTTTCAGCCATGGGCCGACTTGACCTCACAGAAAACCGGTGTTATCGTTCCTTTTCACTGATAAATTGAGCTCAAAATCCCTGATTCTGGGGGGGGGGGGGGGGGGGCGGGCGACGCACTTGTTACTCTTTGAGGTGGTGTCCATGCGTGGTAGCGGTAGGCACTTACTTAAAATACCCCTTTTTTTTTTCCGTGCGGAAATCCCCTCGGATACCACCTGTCGGTGGCATGTCGGACTCGAACCGACTAAAACCGCACGCCGTCTCGGGTACTAATAGCCGGGGAACCAGGTATACCCTAGAAAGGAAGTCCCTGGTGTACCCCTCCCATTGAAAACTCTTTCATAACTAGTTGGATTTATAAAGGATTTCATCATATCTTCTTCTACAGACTCCAGTTGCGGAAGTCAGGTTGATCAAGCCAGTTAAAGTGAGGTTCCCGAAGCGAAAACCATCCGTGGTGATTATAGAGAAGCAGAAAGTGTACATAACAGCTGACAAAACCACTTGTGCAGAATGTTCTTGCTTCCCGAAGGATTCACCTTATATGAAACCACCGTAAATATATACAATAAATCTTATATATAAAATTCTCGTGTCACAATGTTAGTTACCGTACTCCTCCGAAACGGCTCGACCGATTTTTATGAAATTTTGTGTGCACATCGGGTAGGTCTGAGAATCGGCCAACATCTATTTTTCACACCCCTAAATGACAAGGGTGACCCACCCCTAAATCTTTTTTCAATATTTCCTAGAAATAATGTATATGGCAAAACAAAGTTTGCCGGGTCAGCTAGTATGCATATATACTCTGATGCCAACTATTGCAATTATTTAATTTTTATCATAATAATAATTACAATAAAAGTTATACACAAGCATTTATAGGCGAACTTTGGTGGAGCTGTATGTAAAGCTGTGGACGTCTTTCTGCCGAGATGATAATTATTTATAGGAACCCCATGGGGTTTGTAAACAACGCAAGGGTTACAGCATATCATTAAAATTAATATTTAGAAGATATTAGGGGTTTAAAATGCGACCGTCGAGCCGTACGACCGTCCCACATGGCCGCGGCCGGTATGATCGCAGCGGGCCTATAAATAATGCATTTTAAGATGTCTTGTAGTATAGTCCTGTCGTAATAATAGTATAATTAATTACTCCACACTGACACCACATCAGTAGTATCTACATTGCACCCGTGCAAAGCCGGGGCGGATCGCTATTGCGTTAAATAAATGTGACAAGCTGTTACAAGGACTTGGTTGAGGCTCAAAAAATTAAATTCGTAAATTAAATTATGGATGACCTCCGTCACCTTCCCCTACATGTCGGCAACTATAATTTGGACTGTCCGTGACAGATTAAAAATACGTAGTGTCACCACCCCTATCCATCCCATGGGTGTCATAAGAGCCGACTAAGAGAAAAAAAACTAGGACAACAGCACTACAAAGAAAAGGAAAAGTTGAAACAAACCCTATACCGACCCGTCTGAACAGCGTGGTATAGTAGACCTAAACCACCTTTCTAAGGAGAGGAATATATCCAGCAGTGGACTACTAAAGGCTGTTTATGGATTTAGACACTTGCTTGCTTTCCGTTAACAGGATCGCCCCCTAGCGCAAGTATTATCTCTTTCTACTCCCACTGACTGACTGTGACGTATCAATAAACTCAACTGCACGGATGGCGTAGTGGTTTAAGAGGTCGCCACGCCGCTTCCTACTGCGTCGAGTGTTGTGGGTTCAAACCCCACGTGGAACGACCTACAAAATTGTGTGATCTACAAATTGATGTTCTGAGTCTGGGTGTTCTTTGTGTCCGTTTCATGTATTTTTGTAAAGTCCCCCGCGACACAGGATTTATTCCTAGTGCGGGAGTTCTTTTAAAAAAAACCCAACCTTCAATACTCAAAATATCGATTATCACGTAGATGGAATCAAATTATAGTATGCGAAAAGTGGATTTTTAACACGTCTCTTGTTCACCCTTTCACACGTCATACGTATAATATGTATGTATATAGAAGTGTGTTGTTCTGCAGTCTGGTTACCATTTTTTTCTTACTTGTTTAAACTCCCTCGGGCCGTCACCACACCGGGGTTTAGGGTGGGGTGGTGTGTCGGAATCGGACCGACTAAAACCACACGGTGTGCCACTCTGCGCCAGTAATATGAGAGATCCGGGAACATTATTAAGACATCCGAACCCCTCTTAGCCCCTGCTCGCAATGGCACGGGCACCATCTTCGGGAACATTCTCCATTTAGGCGACGTCCGGCACACGCGGACGTCGCCTCCTCGCGGCTGGCCGTTATGGCGGGTGGAAATGAATACCCGTCCCGTCCACCCGCGGCAACACTCACGGCGGCATGAGGCGGTGACAGTCTGGTTACCATAGCACAGGCTTTACGTAGTTCGGAATCATTATATTATATATTATTGTTATACTAGCTGACCCTGCAAACGTTGTTTTGCTATTTACATTGTTTAAATATATTTTTTTTTTTAATTTCTTAAAATCCTTTCTTAGCTGACCTCTACTCGGTGAAAAGAATATTCCTACCAAATTTCAAGTCTTTAGCTCTAATGGTTCCAGAGATATCGTGATGAGTGACTATATACGTGGAAATCTCTTATATATATATAGATAGGCACTAACGTGTGTATGACAGACAGATATATTTCTAGAGGGCTATGAAAAAGGTTATTCTATATAGATTAGATGTCACTTTTGATTGCTACTGATCGTTTTGGTGGCTCTTGTGAACAAATTACGTACAAAAATGTTGTAAGTATTGTACTTATATATGCCAGGTTATATTACACGACCCAATTTACACTCCTACTATATATTATATAAGGATGACAGAGACGACTCGTATGGCGAAGTAGCTGGTTTTTACGCATCATCATCATCAACAGCCTTTAACAGTCCACTGCTGGACATAGGCCTCTCCTTAGAAAGGAGGTTTTGGCCTACTATACCACGCTGGCCAGACGGGTTGGTATAGGGTTTGTTTCAAGTTTTCCTTCTCTTTGCAGTGCTGTTGTCCTGCGCAGTTTGCTCCCTTACGACACCCACGGGATGAACAGGGGTGGTGACATTTACATTTACACTTTTACGCATAAATTAATTAAATCACAACTACAGCCAATTACCATTTCAATTATAATATGCTGAATATTCAGTAAACAGTGAACAGCAGAACAGTGGTTTTGCTATGAGTTAATTTAGATACCTATATGTATAAGGGTAGATCAGTAACCTCTCTAACTCAGAGAAATGTGGTGCTTCGGTGGTGCAGTGGTAACGTATGCGACTTCTGTGCTGAGGTCTCGGGTTCGATTCCTGGGTCGGACCAAATGTTTGTACGATCTGCAAATATTTGGTTTGGAGTTTGGGTGATTTCTATGTATAATATGTATGTATTAACGAACATGTGTATTAACAAAAAAATATGTAAGTATTCTATCAGTCAATCTAGCTTTCATTTTACAAGCTCTGCTTAGTTTGAAACTAGAGGGCGTTGTGTGTCAACGACCGAAAATATCTTCTATACAAATAAATGCGAGTAAAATTGGAGTGTCTGTAATATTAAAATAACCGCTTTTTACTAAATGCATATGTATGTCTACACGGTACATATGCCAAAATAACATTTTTTACAATTTTTGTCTGTCTGTCTGTCTATCTGTTTGTTCCGTATAATCTCTGGAACGGCTGGACCGATTTCGACGGGACTTTCACTGGCAGATAGCTGATGACATAAGGAGTAACTTAGGCTACTTGTTTTAGATTAGCTTCGCCCCGCGGCGTTGCTCGCGCTTATAACAACAAATGCGGGTAACACCGCGGGTCTCAGCTAAAATATAAATGCAACGATAGAGTGAACTTTATTGTACTTATAAATAAACGGAACGCAAGATAAAAACACCCACAGCCCGTTTTCAATTCACATACTGACTGCGCGGATGACGTAGTGGTTTAAGCGGTTGCCACGCCGCTTCCTATTACGCCGAGTGTTGTGGGTTCAAACCCCACATGGGACAACACTTTGTGTGATTCACAAATTGTTGTTCTGAGTCTGGGTGTTCTTTGTGTTCGTTTCATGTATGTTTGTAAAGTCCCCCGCGACATAAGATATATTCCTAGTTATCTATAAAAACACATAAGTAATATCGACTTCAATGTTATTGAACTGAAAGCGGCGGTAGCCTAGTGGTTAAGGCGTTGGACTTGCGACTGGTCAGGATTTTGGGTTCACATCCTGACCAGTACACTACCGACGTGAAACCACTCCTAACACAAGCAATTTAGCTTAGCGAGAGGGGTTAACGGGAATACTAGTAATTTCGGTTGCTAGTAGACCTTATAAAAAAAAAAAACTTTAAAACTGGTTCACAGAAAACTGAGACGATGTCAAGTAAGCCCTCTGACGTTGTACGAACTGGCTGCCGACGTCGTGGACAGTCTCCCGCTGCCTGAGGCTCTCCAATGGTCTGAAGACGATGTAGCGAAATGGATGGAGGAGGTGGTTGGACTACCACAGTACAAGGTATACAGTTACAAATACATAGAGGGTAGACGGAAAAGTATGTAGGTGGTGGTTGCTCTTCTGTTCGCGTAGATCACTTCGAGGTTTATTGCTCAAACTGAACTGTCTTATTACCGAAGATGTGCCCTGATTGATATTAAGTCGTTAGACCGAGACATATCTAGAAATCCGTGTGGTGATGGATTAAGAATAAGTCTAGTGTCACCACCCCTATTCACCCCGTGGGTGTCGTAAAAGCCGGCTAAGGGAAACAAATTACGCAGCACAACAGCACTGCAGAGAGAGAGAGAAGAGCATGAAAACTTGACATAAACCCTATATCAACCCGTCTGGCCAGCTTAGTATAGTAGGCCAAAACCTCCTTTCTAAGGAGAGGCCTAGGTCCAGCAGTAGACTAGTAAAGGCTACATATGTGATGATGATGATGATATCTAAAAAGTTCACGGAAACCTTTTCTCGGAAACGAAATCTCACTTCAAAAATAAACAATTGCCAGCGACAATCCATTTCCGGCCTTAATCATATATTAAAATGATTTATAGTCCTGTGTAGTCCTGCGTCTATTCTAAAAGCGACTGTGTTACATCTTTCCTCTCCCTTTCCCGCAATCTGTGGTAGCAATTTCTTAAAAAAGGGACGGAAATGTGTCGGCGAAACGTTCGCTATTTGAGTTGTCCGTCAGATGGTAGCTGAGATGTCATGTGTCACATAACATGTGCGGCTTCTGTAAGACTCTTTGGTTTATTTTTTTTAATTTCAGGACAGTCTAATTGATAACCACATAAATGGTTTCCGTTTAATTTGGCTTGAAAATACTTGGATATTACAAATGATTAATATTCGAATACACGATCATGTTAAGGTAAGCTTGGGTTTTACAATCAACAGAAAGGCCTGCAGCCAGAGGTCGTGGGTTTGATTCCCACCCAGTACAAATAATTCTGTGATGAGCACGATCATTTTGTTCTGTGTCTAGGTGTAATTATTAATGTATGATATGTCTGTATTTCGAAATATATAAGTATGTTTATCGGCTGTCCGGTCGCTAATACGGACAGACGGGCGGTGTTGATGTGTGAGGTTATATTTATTATTATAATATGGTAGTAACGAGTGACTCGTACTTTGGCAACTCCATCTACTAAAGGGTTGGCAACATTACTTACTGTGACTGTGGTCTTTTACATTGAGGGTGTTCATATTTTGTTTAATGATATGTGGGGCAAACGAACTGACGGGACTCCTGATGGTAACTGACTATCATCGCCCACGGACATCTGCATTTGAAGACATTATTTGAGCCCCCCCTTTCTGGGACAGGGGGCAGAGGTGTTGTCGTTGTTTAAGTGGTTTTCTGTGAGGCCACGGTATCACTTCGGTCGAGCCAGCCATAATACGCCGAAATATGACTCCCAGAGCAAGTACGTGTCATGAATATGAATGGAGCTGTTACCAGGACAGGCAAAGCTACTTGTATTTTTTTGTTTATTAAATGCAACATACACTACAATCAATTAAAACATAAATTATAAATACATCGTTTAGTTCTGGATCGTAACGTAACTTAAATGTGCACAAAGAAAAACAATGAAGATTATACAAAAAATATCTCTGATTCATAATACTGTACGTAATATAACAATAAGTAACAAAGTAAGAAAGCAGCTAATGTGATGCAGATCTGAATGCTATAACCCGGCAATCTCGTGCGCGACCGTCCCGCGGGGTGACAGACAGTGGCGGGGGCGAGGTAGCGCGTCATTCTAGCACACGGCTACACACGAAGAGAAGTGTGTCCCTTCCCCGCTACACCACCCGCTACCCGCTGACATCTTGAGTACCTCGTCCCCGCCACCGTCTGTCACCCCGCAGGACGGTCGCGCACAACGTTGATGGACTTATAATGCAAACCCACTATTGAGAATGTCTTAACTAATTTACTATATCTATTATCAAAAGCATCTAGTAATTTATTGATTTTTGAGATATCATAATCCTGACGGGCCATTCTTGTTAATGGATTATAGTAAGTTTTTATAGATTTTTGAAGGGAATTGTTCTTCCAGGCCATTATTAGTCAAGTAAGAAAATTGTATTCGCTAGATTTCATCAAGTTCTCTCGAAGCATTGGTTTGCCTCCACGGAAACCTTTAACTCATTGCACTTGGTTCAAGTCGAGGACTGGACCCAGTTGGGGGATCAGACAGAACTGGAAGAGGTATTGTTTATTAAATAACTCATTATTATTTACGACGGGTCAGTTGGTCTAGTGGTTGGTGACTCTGACTGCTAAACCGAAGGTTCTGGGTTCGATTCTTATCCAGGGCAAATAATATTATGATGAGCGCGATGATTTGTTCTGTTTCTGGGTGTAATTTATGGTTCGACCAGATTGGACTGGCCTTGGTTACAGGTTGGCTGAGTCAGCGCTAATTCCCGTTAACAGAATTATTTGTAACTATTCATAGACAACTTGACGTTTATGGAAACATTGGCGCCAAGAATTCAGTTTATCTGATTAAAAAAAATCTGGTGTTTTTTATTATCACTTGATACAAGTTTTGTCTAAAACTACAAAAAATATCGTATCAAATAATTAAAGTAAAATTGTTTGTCTGTTTCTAGAACATTCACCTATTAAATACTCAACCTACCATAATTAAATGTATGTAAATAAAAACTCCTGAGGAATAGATTGATTGATACGCTTAGGTGTAATTTATATATTTCAGATCCGATATATTAAGATGGATGAAGATTATAGGTCCCGCACCAGTACATAGAGATCATTGGGATTTGGTATGGTATGTACTTCGAAGTAATACCGCTCGTGACTTTTAACGGTTAGGCCTATTCGAGACAACGACATCTGTCGAACCATTTTGTAAACAAAACTTCACTTATTGAGATAGGAATCTTTTATTTTTTAGAGTTGTTTTTAAAGAGGAAAGACAGTCATGTGTGAAATTTAGAAAGAAACGATAGATGGAGCGTAGAAGTAGGACTAAGCAGTGAAACAATTAGTAATAGAGTGGTATGAGAAAGACTAAGATGTTTCTTTGTTGACATGAATCTACACTAATATTATAATGCTGAAGAGTTTGTTTGTTTGTTTGAACGCTCCAATCTCAGGAACTACTGGTCCGATTTGAAAAAATCTTTCAATGTTAGAAGCCCATTTATCGAGAAAGGCCATAGGCTATATATCATCATGCTAAGACCAATAGGAGCGGAACACCAATGAAGAATGTTGCAAAAACGGGGATTTTTTTCCTTTTAAAAGATGCAGACGACGTGCGCGAGTCAGCTAGTTAATTATAAAAAGATTTTACTAACAATTTCTTCTCATTATGTCGCTTAACAGAAGTAATATCATATTTTTAATTCTTTCTATAAGTATTTTTGACTAGTGCGAAATAAAGCTTCTTTTTGTACCCAAACAACTGAAACTTAATATCGCTACCAGGTATCAAAAGCCAGATTTCCCCAAAACGCTGTTTGGCAGGATACCACCAGCTCATGAACGCGAAAAATTACCCCAGTATCCACCGCCTGTAGAACCAACTACTGAGTATCAAGTGAGCATCATCAAGATTAACTAGAATAAAAATTATTTTATGTCAAGCAATAAAATGTGCTTAGCATCGTCAACGAGGACGGCCCTTCGAGCCGTGGGTACTGTTATTCTAGAAATTTCAACAACAGCCTTTAATAGTCCACTGCTGGACATAGGCCTCTCCTTTTTTTTTTTTTTTTTTTTTTCTCTTTATTAAACATTTATAATACATACTTTTCCATGCTTAAAGTCTGCCAAACTGTAAAAACAGTTTGTCGGCAGTAGTTCTCGTTTACGGATACATAATAATATAAATGTAGGTATTTTAATACAAAATTTGTTAACATTTCCAATTATTGTGTCAAGTACTCGTATACTAGTAGACTATGTCTCAAAAGTAATGAAACGGGCAATGCGGGTATTAGCTATTTGTTATGGACATAACGAGAGATAATGTTTGTGAAGTTTATTTTTAAATTGAAATTTTGTCTGTACCTGTTTTACAAAATCTGAAGGCAATTCATTGAGTAGAAACGGTACCATATAGCTTCTTGTTCGTTTACCGAAGTAGTTCGTGATCTTAGGAACGACAAGTTTCCTCTTTTTGGCTAGACGGCTTAAAACGGTGGGTTTGGCCTACTACAGAAAATAACAAAAAAAAGTTACTCCCTTAGTCGGCTCTTACGACTCCCACGGGATACTCTTAAAGGTGGTGACACTCTGTTTTCTTAATCTTTCATCACACGGAAACTCTAATAAATTTATTTTTAAATAGTATGTTACGATTAACAAAGCGCCATCTAACGAGAATATTTACAAAACTGCTTCGCTCAATGAGTACAAAATAAAAATATATTTTATTGGATTGGAATAAATAAATAAATCTAAAAAAAAAAAATACAAACCCTTTTCACGCGACTGCTCTAAAAGGATTTTTATGTTTCTGAGTGTATGTATGTATGTGTGTTTCTTTGTCACGCTCTGCAGCCTTAACGGCTTGATGGATTGATTCGTCTTAATTGTGAGATTGGTGTTAGGTATATGAAATCATAAAAATTAAAATCGCATTTTATAAATCACACAGTCGGATATTTGTTTTTTTTTCAATCATTAGCTTATTAAATTATTGCCCTTTCCTTTGAAATTAAAAATGTATGCCACAGATCGTAGATCATGTAATGTCTAAATTATATTAAATAGTTTCAAATTGTGATTTCTCAGGTCCCGAGAAAATTCCCCATCACGCCAACGGACGAGGTACATCTAATCTGGATGGAACACCGACCTGACTCTCCCGACGTAGCAGAATTATTTAAGGACTCTGAAAAAGACGGCAGTGCTATAGGACCTGTGAGAAAAACTCTAATGCCGAAGAAAATTCGTTTAAAAGGTCTGACAGGGAAGGATCTGCTTCTGGCCAGACGGCTCATGCCTAAAACGAAGTTTTTGAAATAAGAATTGTTTTTCTTTTTAAACTAGAAACAATCTGACTCATATTCTAGATAATCTTTTCTATTTTTTTTCTTTTTATTTTTATTTTTATTTTATTTATTCTTTCAAAGTGTAAACATATTAATGAGAAAATTTTAACATACATAGCATTTCCTAAGCCACGAAGGCTATTCTATTATTGTCTATAAGTTTTTACAATTGGCAGCGTTCGGACACCTTTAAAATTTTAATTCACCATTTTAATTTATAAATTTATAATTATTCTTCTTAACTATTTGATAGATGTATTATTTAGATAGTAAAATTTGTAAACATAATTCTTTATAAATATATTTAAATGTCTTTACTTTATTTCTTTTATGAGAACTTTTATTTAGATTATGCAGTGAGCTGTAGCTATTTATTAGTACTTATTTTTCTTCCAAAGTTATTGCTTGTTTTTATATTAAATAAAAAAATTATACATATTATCCAATGTGTAACAATCTGTCATCGTAGGGCCAACTCTAGCACAGCGCGACTCTTTAGTCTAAAATTTTACCCGAAAGTAGCTATTTTAAAACGATAAATAATCAAAACAATATTTTAAAAGAGCTACTGCATTTTAATGCCCTAAACATGTTTACTTGTGCCAAGAAAAAACTAAGAGTCATGTAGCGTAAAACAGATCGTCATGATAGTTCGAAATTCAGTTTTTACCGTATTTGGATACTACATTGTCTAAATATTATTACCACATTCAAGAAAAAAATATGTATTTTAGATTTTAAATTATTCAGTGTTTGTTTGGTAGGTGCTCAAAGTAAAATGAAGCATGTGATTTTTCTAGAAAATTGTAAAATTATTAGTTGTTATTTTTATTTCATTTTAAAACAAAGCCTATTTTTCACTTAAATGCCAATTTTCATTATTACAGATTTAGAATTAAAAAAGTTATGTCACAAAAATAACATAATTATTTGAAATGGCTGCCCTGTAAAGTTCAATAAATGTCAGAACCGACACTTTTCTACGACTATGAAGAGATGATAACGCGGTTGTACACAACAGCTGATAAGCATGTTCTAGTAAGACAAGGAGAGATATAGTATCTGTATCGCTCACACAGTTAATTGATCCCGAGCTTTCCCGCCCATTCTGGAGATTTCTCTGCTATACAATGAAGATAGTGCTCATACAGCTGAGACAGTTCCAGCAAGACAAGAAGAGCGATAGCGCATATTATATATCTGTCTCGCTCTCACGCACTATAAAGGGTAAAGACTCGCGATTTTTCCCGCCTTTTCTAGAAACATCCCTTTGAGAACTCGTAAAAAAATTAGGTTTTCTTATGCATTTTACAGGTACATAAATATTAAAAGGGGAGATATTTTTATTTTCTGATGTACCTAGCTACATATGAGTTTTTGAAAAGAAATCACATTCACAAAGTTAGAAAAAATAACAATACAAATTGTACAAAATGTCTCCGCCGTATTTAGGCTTACGAGTATGTTTAAAGATATTTATTCTTGTAATAATATGTTACATCAATTCTATGAAAACACAGTTAATATAATCTGCTCAAAAACTGACGAACTAACTAGGCGTAGGTGCAACATAAACAATGACGTATTATAATGTGGTTTATATATTTTCATTGATAATGAACGGATTTTCATTATAGTTACAATAATAGACAGTGGTTTACGAGAAAAAGTCAGACATACCTTTGATTTATTATGATTTATGGGGACATGTAAATAACCTAAGCGGGAATGATTGCTTAAGAAATCGGAAAAAACCTGCAGCCTGGAAGTTACACTCGTGTGTGCCGCGTAAACCAATAGAATTTTATAAAATATATATATATCTCACACATCTCACACACGGCCGTCTGATCCCAAACTAGGCAGAGCCTGTACTATGGTAACCAGACCGCTGATAAACATACTTATATATTTTTAAATACATACATATTATAGATAAATTACACCCAGACACAGAACAAATAAATATAAAAGCAATGATTGTTGATACCTATACGAAATGATTCCTTGTATAAAATGTATTAAAAAACTAAAAGTATTATGGCTTTCTCTTAAAATTAACACAGTAACATTTTTTTTAACAAATCTTTAAATTACTTCGAAAATCACCTAACTTGAAGATTTGTTTGGTATAATATCAAGTTAGAATTATCTTTTGGCACGATTGCGTGCTCATAATGTCATTAATCATGGAACTTAAAAGTTTAAGTAAGTTTTTTATACGTCATAATAAAAAAAAAATTGGCGGTAAATAGTGACATTGCGTCAAAACAGCTGAGTTTGTTTGTATCGGAAAGACAAAGACGACGTTATAATTGAAATATATCTATCTCGGTCTCATGTTTTACTGATATGAGGAAATGTTCCAGACTCGCGGCCCCTCCCATCTATTCTAGAGCTTTCCTTTGTATTGCCAGCCATGACATTTAAATTTCCCTTACATTGTTTCTGTTTAATTTTCGACATGATTAAAAAGACTCAGATCTGTAAATTACCCGCTAAGTATAATAGGAACAAAGTTAAGAGGTATTCCAAATACGCAATTGTATTGTATTGTTATTATTTTACGCTTAGATGACAGTTTTCCACTTCACGATAATATTAACATAACTGTTATTTTATTAATATAACTGAATTATGCGTATCTAATCCAAAAAAAATGTGTTAAGAATTATTTCATTATTAAAAGAAAAAACTTCAGCAGAAGTTGAAGTTTACCATCCACAGAGTATGAGTACAAACTAACCATAAAATCGGGAATATTTCTACAACTTCCACACTAACATGCGAGAACCGATATACTTGTCCCTTTCTTTACCACAAGACGACACACTATTGGTGGATGCGTCCTACGTTCTGGAGCATTCATTTGGTTCTAGACGCTGATTGGATGCTTCTAGTGACGTAGCGAATTTTCTCGAATCCTATTCGTTTAGTATATAAACTCGAACATTGTGCCGCGAAATCAGTCTTATTTGAAACACGAAAGTAAACACACGAAAGGAGTTCGGTGCAAACCGGAGGAGTTTTACTCGAAGTATTTACATTAGTATTGAAGATATAAACAAGTGAAGATGCCAGCTATCGGAATCGATCTTGGAACGACTTATTCCTGTGTGGGAGTGTGGCAACATGGGAACGTAGAGATCATCGCGAACGACCAAGGAAACCGCACAACACCATCTTATGTGGCGTTCACGGACACGGAGCGACTCATCGGCGATGCTGCCAAGAATCAGGTCGCGTTAAACCCTAACAACACCGTGTTCGACGCGAAACGACTCATCGGAAGGAAGTTCGAAGACCCCAAGATACAGCAGGACATGAAACATTGGCCGTTTAAAGTGATCAGTGATTGTGGAAAACCGAAGATTCAAGTCGAGTTCAAAGGGGAGACGAAACGCTTCGCGCCCGAAGAGATCAGTAGCATGGTTCTAACTAAAATGAAGGAAACAGCTGAAGCGTTCTTGGGCACTAATGTTCGAGATGCAGTCATTACGGTACCCGCTTACTTCAACGATTCACAACGTCAAGCTACTAAGGACGCTGGTGCGATCGCGGGGCTCAACGTGTTGAGAATCATCAATGAACCTACCGCAGCGGCTCTCGCTTACGGACTTGATAAGAACCTTAAAGGAGAAAGAAACGTATTAATCTTCGACCTGGGAGGAGGTACATTCGACGTTTCCATACTGACCATCGACGAGGGTTCACTGTTCGAAGTAAAGGCGACGGCTGGAGACACACATCTTGGAGGGGAAGACTTTGACAACAGATTAGTGAACCATCTGACGGAGGAGTTCCAGAGGAAGTACCGCAAGGATATGAGAACGAATCCTCGAGCGCTGAGACGATTGCGAACTGCCGCTGAACGCGCCAAGCGTACTCTGTCTTCAAGTACAGAAGCGACCATTGAGATCGACGCGTTATACGAAGGTATAGACTTCTACACGAGGGTGTCTCGAGCTCGCTTCGAAGAGCTCTGTGCAGATTTATTCCGCGCCACATTGGAGCCAGTTGAAAAAGCTCTCAAAGACGCGAAACTGGACAAGAGCTCCATCCACGATGTTGTGTTAGTCGGGGGCTCAACTCGCATACCCAAAGTTCAGAGCTTGTTGCAAAACATGTTCTGTGGCAAGAAACTGAACTTATCCATCAACCCTGACGAAGCAGTAGCATATGGAGCAGCAGTACAAGCGGCTATCCTCAGTGGAGAACAACACTCAAAGATCCAGGACGTCTTACTGGTTGATGTCGCACCGCTATCTCTCGGCATCGAAACCGCTGGTGGAGTCATGACTAAAATCATCGAACGCAACTCCAAGATACCTTGCAAGCAGTCACAGACGTTCACCACTTACTCGGACAACCAGCCTGCGGTCACCATTCAGGTGTACGAAGGAGAAAGAGCCATGACTAAAGACAACAACCGTCTCGGAACGTTCGACTTGACCGGTATACCTCCAGCACCTCGTGGTGTACCTAAAATCGATGTGACGTTCGACTTGGACGCGAATGGTATACTCAACGTGTCGGCCAAGGAGAACAGCACGGGGCGCAGCAAGAACATCGTCATCAAGAATGACAAAGGACGACTGTCTCAAGCTGAGATAGATCGCATGCTCTCTGAAGCGGAGAGGTACAAAGAGGAGGATGAGAAGCAAAGACAGAGAGTGACTGCGAGGAACCAGCTAGAGTCTTACGTGTTCAGCGTCAAGCAAGCTTTTGATGAGGCTGGTGAGAAGCTGTCACAACAAGACAAGGACACAGGCCGAAATGCTTGTGAGGAAGCTCTGCGATGGCTCGACAACAATACACTTGCAGACCAAGAAGAGTATGAACATAAGCTAAAGGAGTTGCAGAAGGTATGTTCACCGCTCATGAGTAAGATGCATGGTGCCGGCAATAATACGACAAGTGGAGGTAATGGACGAATGCCAGGTGGATATCCTGGAGGTTACCAAAGAAATGATGGCCCAACCATTGAAGAGGTGGATTAAAATGCAATTTAATTAAATTTCTTTAGAACTGTGATATCATTTTCCTAATTTTCAAGACTGATAATTTTATGTATTTATTTGTGCAGATAGTATTTATTTTAAGTAGTACCTGATCATTTCATGTAAATTGTAAATAAAAGAACTTAAAAATAAATTTCTTTAGTTTTATTGTATTCGTATAGTAACTTAATATTTACAGTAATTTCATGCATGGTTTACGCAAAATGCGTACAAGTTTTACTTGTATAGGTATCATCAAAAACCTTTACTAGTCCACGGCTGGACATAGGCCTCTCCTTAGAAAGGAGGGTTTGGCCTACTATACCACGCTGGCCAGACGGGTTGGTATAGGGTTTTTTTTGTCTTTCTCCTCTTTGCAGTGCTGTTGTCCTGCGTAGTTTGTTCCCTTAGTCGGCTCTTACAACACTCACAGGATGAATAGGGGTAGTGACATTCCGTATTCTTAATCCGCCTGAACTTCCATGTTTATTTCTGTCCATTTTCTTTTTTGTTTCATTTTCTTCTAATGGAGAACAATATTGGAATACACGCAAAACTGCGCCTACTTAAATAATATTAGCAATTTGATCTAAAGCATTTGCTACTGTATTATGGTAATGACTAGGCTCAAGTGGAGATCTTATATATAAAATTCTCGTGTCACAATGTTAGTTACCATACTCCTCCGAAACAGCTCGACCGATTTTTATGAAATTTTGTGTGAACATCGGGTAGGTCTGAGAATCGGCCTACATCTATTTTTCATACCCCTCATTGTCATTGAGGGGTATGAAAAATAGATGTTGGTGACCCACCCCTAATTTTTTTTTTCAATATTTCTTAGAAATAATGTATATGGCAAAACAGCGTTTGCCGGGTCAGCTAGTTAGTATTATATACTAGACATGGGACAAAATTACAGAGAACTGTGGGTTATCATTCGATTTTTGCGTACGTAGGTTGAATTGCTAGTTAGGTAGGTTAGACGCTATTTAACAGTAAATCTAGTATTTTTTAATATTATGTATTTAAACCCGCTATATCTTTATATATATAATTCTTCTGTGAGTGTGTATGTCACTGAACTTCTCTCAAACGACTGGACCGATTTTGATGAAATTTTTTGTGTGTGTTCAAGGGGATCTGGGAATGGTTTAGATTCACAATTTTGTCCGCTGGACAATGTTTTTTTAATTAATTTTTAATTTATTAGTAGTTGTTGATTTTGGAATGTTTTACATTGGATCCGACAGACGGCGCTACCATCGCAGTGTCAAATTTGACAGGACAACGTCTGTCGGGTCCGCTAGTATATAAAAAAAAATCTAGATTAACTGTTAAATAGGCTAAATAGGGTCTCTATGCATCGTTTGAAAACAGCGTATTAGTAACAACGCGTAAGTAGTAACCTATGTACGAAAAAATCGAAAGATAAATCACCTGTCGTTCACTGTGGATTTGTCCCATGCCTACTATATTAATTAGAAAAATCTTATCACTTTGCAAATAGTTTTCAAGCTCCCATCTAAATTTCTGTGTTCATCTTTTAGGAAAGCAATGTTGAAACTTATTTCAATCATGTATCACGTAACCACAGGTTATCACCGATAGATGGCGGTGTGTGTGTGTGTGTGACAAAAATCGGTACGTCGCGTTTATAATTCTTACTTAGATTTAATTAATTTTCTTTTCAATTTGATACGACTCTATGTGCTTACTTGTAAAGATTTATGTTAATAAATTCACAATATTAATTTAGTTCTGACTTCTCGAATAGAGGGCGCTGCTGCTTGTTCCAGGCCTGCCCGTAGTCTTTTTTTTTGTATATCGGAGGTGTGAAAGAAACCATTCTATTTTATAATCCTGATTTGAATTTTGGTGTTTGTACACAATGAAAGTTAAAGAACTATGTAATACATAAGCCCAAAGTACAGCTAATAATGCAAAGTATTTTTTTGGCGCGTACACTGAATGAATTATGAACGGCTGACAGATGATAGAACAAAAAAAAAGGTTGCCTGTTTTAAGTTAAAGTTTACTATGCATAGAATTGTTGCTACCTACTTCCTCTAGTCACCTTATTACAGTTATTACGCACAAACAGGACCGATCTTTTTTTAAATAGAAAGTCTTTTCCACACTGCTAACTTCTAACTTTAACCTACACTTTGACATTTAACTTTTTTTTTACTGTTCTAATTTTTAAACACACTTGCACAACTCGAACATAGACTATGAATTTGAAATTTGGATTTTCTATTATAATAATCTACTATCCAAGTATTGATGTTCTAAAATTGAAAATAAAACAAATAATTATGCAAAAATATGACTTATATTTTGTAATAGAAAAAAAAAATCAATCATCAGGTGAAACTTTTCGTTTCCCGCGTTTATCTGCAATCTGCGGCTCCCATTGTCTAGCTACGCTGCAGTATAGCTGCATGGCCGCACGAGCGTCTTCCACAGAACTATGTTCACCAGATTGTATATCAATACCGAGCAGCTCCTTCGCCAGGCGCTTCAGCGATGGTGTGCTGCCTTTGGTAATCTGAAATGTGACATGTGAAATAGTAAGTAAATATAGAGTAAATATTTAAATATATTATCAAGTGCAACTTGTGCAAAAAGTGCACTCATTCCTAAGAAAATGACGCTTTAACTGTTGTCATCCTGCTAATATTTACAACTAAGCAGCTAGTGGCAGTATCATATCACAGTCATTTTATCAAATACTAGCTGCTTTTGGCTTTTCTGGCACAAAGGTTACTTTTTTTTAACTCCTCACATGCCGCTACACTAATCCGTGAGGGCACCTTTTATTGTAGCGGCTTTTGAGAGGCTAATAAATGGATTAATAAAACTGACATTAAGTTAAGCGAAGTTGCAGATAACAGATAATGTATTGTGTAATTATGTAATTTTTTCTTTTAAATAACACAACTCACACACTAGGAATATATCCTGTGTTGAAGGAGACTTTATATACATACACATACTTACATGAAATAGACACAAAGACCACCAGGTGGTCTTTGTGTTCGTAATTCTGAGTCTGAGTCCCAGACTCAGAATAACAATTTATGGATCACACAAAATGTTACACACTACACACTATGCTATCAGTGCAGTTGAGATACTGTGGTGACCCTAAGTATTTAAGAACCTTGTCCATACGAGTCACACAACACAATCTTATTGCCAGTGGTATCTACTCAAAACAAAATGGTTGAAAGTGGCAGTACATGAAATGGATGTATCTAAAAAGAAAAGCAAATCAGATAAAAGTATTTGGCACAATTCCATAGTATGCTTATTTGGTGTCTCAGATTAAGATAAAACACCCTACAACTTTTTAGTTACAACTAGTGATGTGCCGGATATCCGTATCCGTATCCGCGGATATCCAAGGGAGAAGAGAGATCCGTAACCGTATCCGTATCCGTGACTTTCTTGGCGGATCTTTCAATACATATTACATATATGTGTTTGTAACACTATAAACAGCAACTTTTTTTCTGGCCAAGGTCAAAATGAAAAAAAATTGGTCTTCCATTTAAATGACCAATCAAATGTTGTTAGTTTGTATGGAGAAACAATTTTCTTTCTTTCGTTTTCGGTGTTAGTCCAGAAGAAAAGTTGTTGTTTATAATGTTACTAATATGCACTTCAGAGGTTTTCAGTAAATTTAAAATAACCCTGAATAATGGTTATTAGGTAGCTATGAAAAACTCTTGAATTCTGTTCAGATTACTTTTTATTTCTTAAAACAAATATTTGGCACCTTTGTATTGCAATCATTTATCGTACTATACTAAATCAACTAGGCAGGTCGTAGGTACTAAAAGAGCTATCTTTATAATGAGATCAATCAAACATCTTTGTATTAGCTTATTAAAATAATGAAATTTTTAAATATCAACGGCAAAGCGTCAAGTGGCGACAACTATCAAGGTCACGGGCTCCGATTGAGTAAGAAACTTAAGATCCGTATCCGGATCCGTATCCGCGGATCTTGACACCAAAAATCCGTATTCGGATCCGTATCCGCGGATATAGTTTGTTAACGATCCGGCACATCACTAGTTACAACTCTTAAGTTCTAAATTGTTATTACTATTTTTTTCAAAACAACTACAATAGGAATATATCCTGTGTTGCAGAGGACCTCACAATACATACATGAAACGGATACAAAGAACACCCAGACTCAAACAACAATTTGTGGATCACAGAAAATGTTGTCCTATTTGAGGATTGAACCCACAACACATATTATGTGCAGTAGATTATTCATGTAATGTTTTAAAAGAGTTATGTCATCAGTTTAAATGAAATATGTATGATTTTATACCTTTTTAAAGGGTTTATATCTTGATGTGTCTCTTATGTTACGTTTAGGATGCGATAGGAACAAAACGGACAAATCATTCTTCAAAGAATGCCCAACTAATATTCTTCCTTTTATAAGTTCTGCAACCTCTTTTTGTACTGTGTTAAACTCTTCGCCGTTCATCATGTCTTCTTTTCTGACTCCGCTGATATTTGTACGATAGTCTTTTACTTCTTCTCGGGCTTTCACAAATTTATCATAGATACAATCGCCGAATTTGTTCACTATAGAGACCCTGGCTAGCATATGATCACTCCCATCATAACCTACTCCGACCATCTCACAATCTATAGCTAAAAACTTTGTCAATCTATTTTTAGATTTAGTTTCTTTTGGAATCACTTCTTTAGTAACTTTTGTCACATCACTACTAACGTCATTATTTAGATCGCTGAATTTATTTTTTAATTCTATGCCATTGACTAAGGTATCATTGTTAGATGTCAAGTTTAGTGTTTTTAAATTATTCTGTAGTATATCGTGGTCTTTCGCTCTTTTTCTTCTGGTACGTCTATATGACCCAGTGTAATGATCTTTGTTAACTTCCTGTGCTGGTTTCTCGGTCTTCTTATCCATTATAAGGCTGCTTGATAAGAATTTTTGCCAGTTTGCATCAATAAGGCCACGGGACACAACAGTTTGGTTAGGTTGGGAATTCGTCGTTTTTTTTCTTTTCTTTGATGATTCGGTCATATTTATACCACGGATGTTCACAAATAAAAACTTTAGTATAAAAACTATACAGTTTATCACATTAAACACTATATAAAGTATAAACTCGATAACAATCAGGAGTAAATAAAGCGCGCTTTGTAGGAGGCCATTTGACATCTTCTTGACACTTTGACATTGATTCCGCATGGCAACCACAGCCAAAGCTAAAGCTTAAATTCTATTGCATTTACTGAGTTAACAAAATGTAAGAAATTCTGTTTTATTCTACTTTCAATTGAATTATACTATCTGAGGTATAAAATTCTGTAGTATTTTATGACCTGTGCAGACAAAGAGATGAGTAAACAAAGCAAAAATGTTATCAAAGAAAATTGTTTAAAAAAATTGACCTGAGATCCATAGACAACAGAGCTTTACCGTTCTGAAACTAATACCTTAAAGTAAAAATAAAATATTTCAGTTTAAATAATTTATACTTAATATTATTAGAATCGTTACCTATATCACAGTAGAATAAGAAGTAAATATTGTTTATATTTGTTTTTCTGTCCTATTTAAAATCTATTCGTATTTGCATTTAATCCCAATTTTGACAGCTTCAAATTTCGGAACGGTAACAGTAGTAGAAATTCAACAAGGAATACGAAAATCGATTTAATTGTTGTACAACGATTGTTATGAATGTTTTCAAACGATGGCAATCCACATAAAAAAAGCAACGGTGTCAATACATTTTAGGGTACCATTACATCGAATGACATGGTATCAACAAAAATGTAAATACAAGATTTGTATACAAGAATGTTCGTATACGTCAAAACGGGCCGACGTGTATCTTTCCGTGGTGGGGTTTTAGTGAAAATGATAACTTGTATGAAGCCATGAGCCAGTATACGCTTTCTAATCGCGTAGTTCGGACATAGCGCGTTAAAAATGTCCTACGAAAGCCTTCTCGGAAAACTAACGGCTCACGGTCAAGGGCATCTACTAACGTACTGGTCGGAACTCGGCGAAAAAGAGCGGGAGCTATTAATCCGCGACATCGAAAAAATAGATTTTTCAGAAGTAAATGAACTTTTTAGACGTGCTAATGATACTAGCAAAGTTATTCTCGAAAAACTAGAAGATTTAAAACCTATTCCTGAGTCTCATTACGAGGCAGTGCCTAACTTGAGTAATGAGAAGATTGAGGAGTACGAGACCCTTGGTTTCAAGGAGATTAGTGACGGCAAAGTTGGGGTGTTGTTGTTAGCTGGTGGACAAGCTACCAGACTTGGATTTGGTCATCCTAAAGGCATGTATGATGTTGGTTTACCTTCGAAAAAGACTCTGTTCCAAATTCAAGCTGAAAGAATAGTGAGAATCCAACAAATGGCTGCAGAAAAGTTTGGTAGTCATGGAAAAATTACTTGGTATATTATGACCTCTGAGCACACCAAGCAACCAACTGCAGATTTCTTCAGGAGCCATTCTTACTTTGGTTTAAATGAGGAGGATGTTATATTCTTTGAGCAAGGCACACTACCGTGCTTTGACTTTGAAGGCAAAATTTTCTTGGACGAGAAACATCATGTATCGTCTGCACCTGACGGTAATGGAGGCTTATACAGGTCTTTAAAAAACCAGGGGATATTAGCAGATATAGCTAACCGTGGCATTGAGCACTTGCATGCACATTCCGTGGATAATATTCTTATTAAAGTAGCAGATCCTGTCTTTATTGGTTATTGCAAAAGTAAAAATGCTGACTGTGCAGCGAAAGTGGTCCAAAAGTCTGCTCCAAGTGAAGCGGTCGGTGTTGTGTGCAGAGTTAACGGTCACTACAAAGTTGTAGAATACTCAGAATTGACAGACGAGGCTGCTGAACGAAGAAATGATGACGGTAGGCTGACATTCTCTGCAGGCAATATATGTAACCACTATTTCTCAGCAGACTTCCTAACAAAGATTAGCAGTTTTGAATCAAAACTTAAACTACATGTTGCTAAAAAGAAGATACCTTATGTTGACCGAGATGGTGTTCGTCAGAAACCAAGTGAACCAAACGGTATTAAGATGGAGAAATTCATTTTTGATGTGTTTGAATTTGCAGAGAATTTTATTTGTTTAGAAGTTGCTAGAGATGTTGAGTTTTCTGCTCTGAAAAATGCAGATTCAGTTAAAAAAGACTGCCCTTCAACTGCCAGGGAGGACCTACTGAGGTTACATAGGAAATATGTCAGAGATGCAGGGGGAATCATTTCAGACGAGATTGATGTTGAAATATCACCTCTTTTATCTTACGGTGGTGAAAATATTCAGGACTTAGTGAATGGAGAAGTCTTCACCATCAGTCCATTCCATTTGAAGAGTATGCAGGAAGCATCCACAAATGGTGTTAATGGAAAACACTAAAGTGGCAAAGACAATTTTAAGTGCAATAATTTTTTTTACTTGATATCTTTTTTGGACAATAGTCATTTATGTCTAAATTGTTTATTGATTAAAAGTTGATTGTTTTTTTAAAACCTTGATAAATTTATTTGTTAGTGAAATTTGCAGTGTATGTAAAATTTATGGAGTGATGTGAATTGTAAGTCATTAATAGTTAAGATACATAGTTATATTCTAATTTGATTCCATTAGGAAATTAATAGCAATAAATACTATAATGTATTATGATCAATTACTTGATTACAGTACTTAACTTTATTTTATATTTAATGAGATTCCAGGTAACATTAAGCACAATAATATTAATTTACATTTTTTTAAACTAACACAATGTTAGCTCAGATTTACAAGATGCATCTCACAATTCTATACTTTAAGGGCATAGAGTCAAAACTAAAAGTCTTAAAAAAAAAAAGATTTGAATGTCCTATAAATTAAGTTGTCATGTTTAATTACTGGCTGGTTCTTTTATTGTAATTTAAAAAGTATAAGTTTACATTGTTTTCTTTAGTTTAAATAAAATGCCTTTTTGAACATTTTTTATAGTAGGTATACTATAGGTAGGTTTTATATTTTGAATTCTATAATAATGTGAAGCAACGAGTGATATATAAATTTTAATTAATTATAACAATAATATTTCTGTAAAATCTACAAAACAAATTTTGTTTTTTTTTTGTTAGTTTTCCCATTCAAGCAGTTTTTATGTTTCGAAACATGAGCTAATGCTTTTTTTATCATTTTCTTAGATGTATAAGCCACTAAACAAAAGGTTTAGTCACATCACACTACATGTAAAACTTAATCTGTCCATAACGCAATCTTTTTATTTGTATCCAAATATCCACCCTACGGTATAGGTATCACTGGCATATATTTTTTATTTAATGACCTACTGAACTGATGTTTAATATTGACTAAAATATATATAAAACTCACGGTTTAGCATAAAAGAGGAAACAATGGATGATAAGAAATAGCTGTGTAGGTATATATGATATAATCAGCTGTATGTAATTATTTTAATAAAATTTGTATATACGCAAATATGAAATATTCGCGCTAAAGTTGATTTCGCACAGATAACATATCCGTAGATTAAATGACGAGCGAAGGAGGTTAGCAGCTGTTCTCTATTCTACTTTTAAGTATTGTTTGCAATATTTTGGCGCCGTAATTGCTCTTACTTTCAATGTCATAAGAGGTATCAGTGAATCTTGCTCGGACCAGTTTACTGTCCTCGATTTTGTGAGGTTACGTATGCGTAATCAATGTAATCACCAATATGTTTAAGATAAAAATATATATGTAATATCTGTATTTTCTTTGATTTTATCGATGCACGACAATATCGATAAGATAATAAATTAATAAAAGAACAACATTGTGCGATGTAAATAACTGTATGTGAATTCTATGGCGTTAATAAAAGAGTGGTGCATGAAACGGCAGCGAGAAATATATAAATACTATTTTATATAACGTTATTATGCAATTATTCGCCTTGCTATGTTACTGGCTGAATTTGCGTATTTAAAAATAATAAACATTTTTTTTAATTACTAATATTTTCTTTGTTAATCCTCTATAATTAATCGCTGCGTTCTTTCTTTCGCCCAAGTTTCAGGTAAAATAGTTTCAAGATTAAATTAATTATGTAAGTTCAATACGGGATTTTCTTTGTGGGTGCTCGCGCATATAAACGGGCTTAGTAAAGAAATTGCTCACATCTAGGAAATAAAAATTATATACCTAACTACGTAAAAAATACTAATACCGTGGGTCACGGTTATGTACTAGATGAGATCCGAACCTACTACCACTTGACCGACCCGACTTAGCACTTACGCTGCCGCCGTTTGCATTCTCAATTCAAGGAAATAGGTCTTTTACAAATCACGCAGTAAAATACAAACCTACTTTTTCTATTCTTTTTACTCGTAAATACTTCGCGCTGATACTTCCTTCTGTCTGAAAACGATTAGGTGCATTGCCGATGAGGATTGACAACAGGTTTGAGGGTTGACTTAATCTAGAATTAGAAAGAAACCAGCCAAAATTCTTTGCAATGCACCAACTTCAAGTAAAACTGGTAAAAGGGCTAATGATTATAACCCTAGCCAGGTGACGCTTACTACTAAAAATAGGAGGCTCCAAGAGTCTACTAAGCTAGGTTGGCCTTTGTTGTATAACAGTTCTTTGTGACTCTGGTTCATTTTAGTAAGAGACCTGGGGATTCTGGGCGGACATAGACAGAAGTCTATCTGTTGATCTAGTGGTTAGTAACCCTGACTACTAAGCCGGAGATCATGAGTTCGATTCCCACCCAGGACAAATATTGTGTGATGAGCACGATCATTTGTTCTGTGTCTGGGTGTAATTTGTCTATAATATGTATGTATTTAGAAATGTATAAGTATGTTTACCACCAGGATAGTTACCACAGTAGGGGCTCTGTCTAGTTTGGCATGTTTGCAATGTTAGTTTGTTTGCATTTAGTATGTTAAAGCTCCTCCCTAATTTGCAAACGGTTCCAGTTTGTAATTTAGGGATGGGCGGCAGTAGGTTATTTTTTAAATCTTCCCTAAAACCTTGACTGCACGGATGGCGTAGTGGCTTAAGCAGTCGCCACGCCACTTACTACTACGTTGAGTGTTGTGGGTTCGATCCCCATATTGGACGACACTTTGTGTGATCCACAAACATGTTCGAGTCTGGGTGTTCTTTGTGTCCGTTTCATGCATGTTTGTAAAGTCCCCGCGACACAGGATATATTCCTAATGCGGGAGTTACCTTTTACAACAAAAAAGTAAATAAAATAATTTTCTAAATCATATCATCAATCATGTTTAATATAATATATGATGGTTTTCTAAATTAACAAACAAAACATAAGAATACAACCGAATGGAGAACCTCTTTCTACTTATTCGTCATCAATCATCAACAGCGTCCAATAGTCCACTGCTGGGCAAAGGCATCTCCTTAGAAAGGATGTTTTGGCCTACTATACCACGCTGGCCACACGGACTGGTATAGAGTTTCAGTCATGTTTCCTTCCTCTTTGCAGTGCTGATATACTGCAGAGTTTGCTCCCTTAGGTGGCTCTTACGACACCCACGGGATGAATAGGGGTGGTGACCCTCTGTATTCTTTATCCGTCACCACACGGGCATCCATTCTTTCTAATTAAATTTTGTTAAATATAGGGGGAATAGTTTATTAAGTTATAAAACAAAATTCATGTTCGTTTGTTACCACTTAATAAGATTGCGAATTTTTGTAATGTTGCAATGTTATTTACGTAAGGAGTCGTTGAGAAACACGTCTAGCCGGTTTGGTAATGTATTCTTACTAAATCAATTTAGGTATTGTGAATAAATATTTGACAGGTTTTTTTTCATTATTGAAGTCAGGCAAGGACACACATGATAAATCCTTGATATACATATAGTGAACTTTCTGAGGATTGAAATAGATTTTTTATAAATAGTTTTCATTTGATAACTTTGATCACAGCTTTTAACTTTGATTTAACTAAGCAGAGCTTCTACTACGGTAACCAGACTGCTGATAAACATACTTATATATTTATAAGTACAGTGCCTCAGTGGCACAGTGGTAGCGTATACGACTGCTGTGCTGAGGTTTCGAGTTCGATTCCCAGGTCAGACTAAATATTTGTAAAATCTGAAAATATTTATTTCGGAGTTTGGGTGTTTCCTATGTTTATTATGTATGTAAGGTGAAACCGCATTAAATATCTAAACAAGTGCGTGCGTACTATAAAAAAATGTTGGAAAAAACTCTTGTTACACATTTTCGTTCTCGCTCCTATCCACTCAGAGGGTGTAACGCGCGATAAGGAACTTCGTTCCAATAACTTTTTCGGACGTCTAACATAACGCCATCTAGTTTCAAACTAAGCAGTACTTGTACTATGAAAGCTAGAGTGTCTGATAGAATACTTATATCCTTTTTAGGGTTCCGCACCTCAAAAGTTAAAAAGGGAACTCTTATAAGATCACTTTCTTGACCGTCTGTCCGTGTGTCACCACCGATTTTCTCAGGAACGGGTAGACCTAGCAAATTGAAATTTATACCAGATACTGAGGTCTATAGTCCATATTAGGTGTATAAAAATCAAGGTCCTGAGTTAACACGATAAAAAGATATGGACAAATTGCGATTTTCGCGAATTCTAGGTCAACCGGAAGTACCCTATAGGTTTTGAGTCGAAAACCTATATGTTACTTCCTGTTGACCTAGAATCGCGAAATTTGGCAAAAAGAAACGTCTTATAGCACAAATAAAAGAATAATTCCAAAAAATAAAAAAAAGTTGAAAATTAAGATAAATTATGGTACTTACAAATTTTCGCGAAAATCTACGTAAAATCTGGGTAGATACGAAACAATCGGCGCACGAGTTCGACTCGTGTAGTTCGACCGGTTTTTTTTTTGTAAAGTCATACACAATATGCATAGAAAACACCCAAACGCAGAAACAAATATTTGCAGATCAGACAAACTTTCGGTCCGACCTGGGAATCGAACCTTAGACCTCAGCATGGCAGTCCCACACGCTAACATTGCACCACCGAGGCATATTGTCATTGCAACTATAGATTTTTCTATCAAGTTTTTTTTTAAACAATGCATAATAAATCATGCCGTTGATAATAGTCGATTTCCGTTGCAAATAATCGATTTCCGTTGCAAATAGACGATATCCGTTTCCGAATAAGTAATTGAGCGTTGTGAGAATAAATCATGCAAAGAAACTCAAGGTCGAGGTCTTGGGTACGCGGGAGAGTCATGTTTTTAAAAGACTTCAAAAAGGAAGAGGTTATCAGTTCGTATGTTTATATATTTTTTTTATGTATATTCGGGCATAACTCCTTCATATATAGACGGATTTTCGAAATTCTTTTTTTGTTCGAAAGGGGTTTATTCCGAAAT